CGCACCGCTGGTAGCAAGAACAAACCAGCTAGCGACAAGCACACGGAAGAATGGTAGAAGGAAGCAAGATGCAAAGCAGCAAAGAGAGGTGCCCACACCGCCCCGCCTCTCACCTGCGCCGCCCCCCACCATGTGAACCACGCCGGAGCCGGCAAAGTCCATGAGTCCCATGGTGCCGCTGATCAGGGGGTCGTACTCAGCCTGGTCGCAGCCCCGGCGCCGGGCAGACAGCCAGCCTGCAGGGAGGCAGGCGGGCGGGCGGGCAGTGGTGGCGGGTCGGTGCTGGTGCTAGTTGGCGGCGGCGGTGGTGGCGGTGGTGGTAGAATGGTTGGAGGGAGCTTGCATGGCTGGCTGGCATGGCTGCATGGATGGCTTGGATGGGAGCACTTGGATGGGGACACATGTTGGCTGGAGGGCCAGCAGGGTAAGGTGCGCCGGCGGGAGCGGCGGCCACCCACCGCTGTTGCTCCAGACCCAGTGCACGACCACCGGATAGATGAAGCCCGAGATGGCGGTGGTGTAGATGAGGTACGCCCTGCGGTACATCAGGCAGTACATGAATGCGGCGTGGCGGTACAAGCATGCCGAAGCACAGCACGCAGCCTCGCATGCGGGCTGCCGGCGGCCTCAAGCGGCGGCAGCCTGGGCGTGTGCTGCGCCTGCGCAAGCACACACCCGCACTTCGCTGGCCACCCCGCCGCCTCACAGGCCGCGCAACGCACGCGGCAGCCCTCATCTAGCCCTAAAACACGCACTTGAACTGCAGCCGCTCGGCGATGGCGCCCGACACGATGGTGGCGGCGGTTGCCGAGAAGGCCCAGTTCCAGAGCCAGAAGGCCCAGTAGGTGCCCCCTGTGGCGGAGGCCTCGCTGGAGAAGAAGTTGTAGGCGCCGATGAAGCCGTTCTGGCCGCACTTGCCGTAGGCAAAGGCGTCCCCCACCGACCACCAGCACACGGTGGCCACGCAGGCATCGATCGCGTTCTTCATCACTGCGGGGAAAGGCAAGGCGGGGCAAGGCGGGGCAAGGCGGGGCAGGGCAGGGCAGGAGTGAGGGGAGGCGCGGGGTCGGCTCGTGCAGGCGTGTGCGGGCGTGGCGCGTTGGGATGGGCGAGGGAGGGGGTGGGAGCGGCAGCGGGCGAGTGGCAAGGTCAACGGCTGGGCTGTGCAAGGGGAAAGGAGCTGGGCCATGGCAGGCGCAAGGGAAGGGCTAAGCTGCGGCCAGCCTCACAGATGTTCTTGGTGTTCTTGGCCCGCACGGTGCCTGCCTCTAGCAGCGCAAAACCGCTCTGCATCTGCAGCAGCGGAGCGGGAGGGCGGCGGCAGCAGCGGCGGTGGCAGGTATGGTCCGGCGGCGGCGGTGCCCATTCAGCGGGAGGCTCTTGCTCGCTGGCTTGTCTTGGTGCGCCTCCCAGGAGGACCAAGTCATCTCACCTGGAACACGAAGAAGGAGCAGACCAGCACCCACAGCGAGGTCAGCTCCGCCTCCAGGTTGGTGAACTGGGCGGCAACGTCGCCGCCCATGGTGGCGGCGGGGTCTGCCTGCGCCAGGGCCCTGCCCGCCACGCTCGCCATCTCTCTCCTCCGCGGCCTCGGCTCGGATCAAGGGTGCAGGTCGGTGCTGGGCGCCGATAGAGCGCGCTGGTGGGCTCTTGCCGTGTGCCCAATTCGGTGTTGGGACCAGGCTGGGGTGGGCCGCCGCAGCGCGCTGCTTTGTTCGGCAGTGATGCAGCCTGCTCTTCGACTGATCGGCGCGCTTGGCCGTGCAGCGCTCCCACCAGCAAGATAGAGTGCAGCCCTAGCTGTGCAAGGAGGAGGGCGCTCCGTGTCTGGGGCTTGCTTCAAAGGAAAGTCAAGGTGGTGCGTCTCATCGGTTCGGCGCGTGCAAGCCAAACCCACCCATGCTGAGCTGGCCGCCGCCGTGGCGGCGCCGCCCCATGTGGGTACTACCTCTCGAGCTCCGGGCCACTGAACTCTGCACAGGTGTCCAACTCAAATAGCTCACAGGCTCCCTCTGCCTTCCCTCGGCTTGGAAGAGCAGCGAGCTGAAGCCGCCGCCGCCACCTTGAGCTGCTCCCCTGTCGCTGCCAGGGCGTCCCGCTCTGCTCAGGCTGCCGCTACTGTCACCCGCGCCCGCACAAGCAGTGCCACGCCGCTAAGTGGTCCAACCTGATATCCTTCCTTGGCCTGCACAGCAGCTTAGCACCCTATACCGGCCGATTGATTCATGCGGCCGCCTTTCCGCTCCACTGCTTTCCACACTCCAAGGCCTTGCCTTCTGGCCCCCTGCTGTGCCTGCAGGAAACACCAGGACACTTGCTGGCATCACCAAGCCTGCTTGCTCGCTCCAAGATGGCGCCCGCAGACAGTTCGAGCAGCAGCGCTGGACTGCCGGCCCTGGAGACGCTGCGCAGGGCCTCCAAGGCTGCCCCCTCGCAGCGCAGCGCCGAGCAGGCAGCGCTGCGGGACGCGGTGCAGCTGAACGCCGAGGTGGCCAAGGCGCTGCCGCTGGCGCGCCTCGCCCGGCCCGCCCGTGACGGCGCCGCCATGTGCCTGGCCCAGCTGTCGCCGCGAGAGGCCACGGAGGCAAGGGTGAGGCGGCCTGGCAGGCCCGCGCCCCCACGCTTCATGTTCGCCTGCTTCTTGTGCCCGCCAGGGGAGCTGTGGTAGCACCGGCACGCGCCTCCCTGCTCAAGCGGCGCCGCCGAGCGGCCTGGCCGCTGGCAGCAGCACCCCACCCAGCCTGCTGCCCCGCCCCTGCCCTCCCGCAGATCACCTGGGCGCTGCTGCAGCTGGCGCGGGCCCTCTGCATCACCCCACACTTTTGTGAGCCCGCCTTTGCCAGCCGCCCAGCCAACCACGCCGCCGCCTACGCTGCGCAGTGCTGCAAGGCGGCTGGCATCGTGCCTGGCGTCGGCGCGGGCCGAAGCAGGGAGGAGATCTGCCAGGAGGGGGCCCGCCGGGCGGCGCTCGGCCCGCAGCAGGCGGCGGCGGCCGCCGCCTGCCTGGCCGCCATCCCCGAGCAGCCGCGCCAGCTGTGGCGCGACGGCCGCCTCTGGCTGCTGCTGGCAGTCGTCGCGGTCGCCTTTGCGCGGGGCGTGGACACAACAGAAGCAGACGAGCAAGGCGTGCAGCCCGACCTTGCCCTCAACTTCTGGGCCTCGGCCCTGCACCAGCTGGAGGATGAAGGGCGCGTGGCGGCCTATGGGCATCAGCTGGCGGAGGCGGCCGCCGCCGCAGGCGCACCCGAGCCGCCCGTCGGCCTGGCGGGCCTGCGCTGGCTGTGCGCCAGCCGGGTGGCGGCGCTGGGGGCCCTGCTCAGCAAGAGCGCCGCCCTGGCGCTGCTGGATGTGCGCGGCAACGTGATGGCAGGCTACCTGCAGCGGGCGGTGGGGGAGCTCGGCGGCGAGTGCGGCGGCGTGCGGCTGCAGCGCGGGGCGGGCCTGGCCGCCAGCCCCGAGGCCGCTGCGGCCGCCGCGGCCGCCGCGGCCGGCGTCATACTGCGCCTGCAGCCAGGCAGCCCCGACGCGCACCTGGCCGCCGCCTCGGCCGCTACGCCCGCCACCGGGGGCCCCGCCCCTGCGGAGGCGGTGGACCACGTGCGGCGTGCGCTGGTGCTGGCCCGCAGCCAGCGCAGCCTGAGCAGCTTGGTCATCGGTGACAACATGCTGGTGGCTTATGCGGCGCAGGGGGAGGGTGTGTGCCCGGCAGCCGAGGCGCTGGCTGCATGGGAGGAGGGCTCCGCGGCGCTGCGGCGCTGCGAGGAGCAGCTGCCCGGCGAGTGGGTGGCCCCGCTGCGCAAGGGCCGGGCAGCTGCGGAGAAGCTGCTGCGCCGCCTGGCTGCTGGCGCCGGGCCAGCCCGCGGCGGCGCTGAGGCCACCGCCACCTCCAGCCAGGCCGGCACCGCTGGCAAGCCCCCGCCGCCGCGCACGATGTGGGGCGCGCTGGCCGCGCCTGCCGGCGGCAAGGCGCTGGCGCCAGGGCAGCCCACGGCCGCACAGGTGGCTGCGAACCCACACACCTTTGTCCAGGCTGCCGTTGCAGTATCCAAGTGCGCCTGCTGCGGCAAGGAGGGGAGATATGAAAAGTCCCCGCTGAAATATTGCGCTGCCTGCAGGGGCGTGCAGTACTGCAGGTGAGGGGCAGCCAGCCGCCGGAGGTGCTTGCTTGCGTGGGGGCAGACGGCGTTTGGCACGCAGCGGGCCCTGCAGGGCTTGGAAGCGCGCCTGCTGCAAGCAGCCGAGGCATGGCCTGCCGCCCTGCCGCCGTGCAGCACTGCCTGCCAGCGCAAGGACTGGCCCAATCACAAGCCCAACTGCAAGAAGGCGGGCTGAGCCGCGGCATGCTGGGCTCGCTCCACCTGCGTTTGTCTCCATTCGGAATGGCTGCGCCGGCGGGGGCAGCCAACTAGCCTTGATCTGCGCATCTCGTTCCAATTTGATGTTCCTTGTTTGCTGTCTGATCTTGATTCTTCATTGTGCTCGTGTGCTTTCAAATCCTGCAACGTTCTCAAGTGATTGCACCAGCGGTGGCAGCGGCGGGGCGGTACAAGTCGGGGCGGCGCAGTCAGCGTTGACCACGCTCTTCTGCAGCACATACGAGTCACTTCAATCTCTGCAGTTAAAATGATTCCGCTCGAGCAGCACCGGGGCACCTAGCGCCCAGGGCTCCAATCGGGAGCTGCGAGGTTGCGATGCAAGCCTATTGGTCCATCCCATTCCCCCGCCACAGGAAGAAGAAAAAGCGGCAGCAGCAGCAGAGGCAGCAGCAGGGCGCAAGGCGGCCGCGGGAAGGTGCCGCCCGGCCGCCGCCAGTGGAGGCTGCCCGGCCGTCTTGGGACAGCACCACCAGTGACCATTCCAAGTACAAGCTGAGCGAGGCGGAGCAGGTGGGGCTTCTGTGAAGCGCACCGAGTTTCAATACCTCAGCAGCCAAGCCATGGCTTGCTGCCTAACGCTTGATGCCCTGCTGCCGCCCACCATGCCGCCGCAGGCGTTCCGCCGCTCGCTGCGCCAGAGCCGGCACCACCTGCGCCCAGCTGCCGCTTCCACAGAGCCCCAGCAGGATCAGAAGCTGATGGGATTGGAGGAGGCGTTGGCACGGGGGCTGCTTGGGGTGGAGGCAGAGGAGGGCGGCATGGTGGGTGCTCACCCGGCAGAACTGGCGCTAGAGCCGGAGTCTACTGGCGACAGCTGGCTGGATGGGGAGGAGTCGGAGGAAGGGGAGGAAGCAGCAGCGTCCCTGGATGGCATGCGGCAGTTCGTTGCAGGCCTGCAGCGCAAGTATGGGCTCGGTCGCGGCGGCGGCGCTGACGGCAACCCCACGCCGGCCGTGCCAGCTGGGGCGGGGGACGGCGGTGGCAGCGTCGCTGCCTCCGCGCGGCGCAAGCTGGCGCAGCTGCGTGCCGAGCAGCGCGCCGCAGCGGCTGGAGGAGACCTTGAGTTCGGGGATGGCGGGAGCGGTTGCGGCGGCAGCCAGGAGGAGGGCCGAGAGCTGGAGGAGAAGGACAGCTGCCCTGCTGGCATGGCCGCCTCCCAGCCTGCTCCTGCACTGGCGGGCTCTGACAGCGAGGGGGAGGGACATTACGGCCCAGCCGCGCTGCGCAGGGCGCAGCAGCGCCTGGCAGCAGCGGACGCAGCCGCCGCGGCTGCGGAATCGGATGCAGCACCCAGCTTCACCCCCCGTGGGGGCCGGTGCCGCCAGGTCAGCAGACACCTGGCAGCAGCGGTAATGTCGGTGCCGTCGGCGGTACCGTCGCCAGCTCAGCAGGACCTGCTGGACAGGCTGACGGCAGCCGAGGCGCAGCTGGGGCGGGTGGCGGGGCTGGAGGCGGAGCTCCGCCAGACGCAGGCTGCAGTGGCGGAGCTGCAAGAGCGCAACGGCCAGCTGCAGACAGGTGGGGTGGGAATGGGTGGGTGGGTTGTTGGTTGCTTAGTGGTTCTCTGGGCAGACAGGCGCTGCACTAAGCCGTGCTGAGAGGCCAGCAAGGAAACACAAGAGGGTGTGAGCAAGGGGCTGCAAGGCACACCGTTCTCCAGCCTCCTTTTCAGCCCAGCAAGCTTCTCACCCGCCCTGCCGCAGAGCTGGATGCCTGCGTCAGCCACTCCCTGCATGCCACCACCCAGCTGCAAGCCCAGCTGTCGCGCCTGCTGGGCAGCCACCAAGCCGGCAGCAGCACCGGCGGCGGCAGCCTGGATGCCGCAGCTGAGGAGCCGCGCCAGCAGGCGGCCAGCCCCCGGCTGCCACCAGCTGCCAGTGTTGCCGTGGCGCAGGCGCGCGCGGTGGCAGAGGCGGTGTCGGTTGCGCAGCAGGCGCATGCACACATGGCTGGTGGCGCTGCCTCCAACTCCCCAGCTGCGCAGTGGGAAGGACAGGAGCGCCAGGCACCTGGCACTGGCAACCTGCTGCTGCCACGCTGTGAGCAGCAGGTGGAGCTGCCACAACGCAGTGAGCAGCAGGAGGATGTGATGGCAGGTATGCAGCTGCCCAGCTTCCGGTGCTTTGCAGAGCTGCGGCGGGCGGCTGCCTCCAAGCCAGCCGCCAGCGCCGGGGAGCAGCTGGCAGCTCCAGGACTACCTGCTGCTGCTGCTGCTGCTGGCCTCCAGACTCGCGGCGGCAGGGGGGAGCAGGGCGGAGAGAACCACCCACCGCAGCCGCGCGCGCTGCCGCAGCGCCTGGCACAGCAGCGGGGCGGCGATGCTGGCGGCGTGCAGGCGGCGGCGGCTGCCGACGTCTTCCAGTTGCAGCGCCTGGCCACGGCGGGATGAGCGGACAACGGCTCACAGAGGGGTCGGGCATGGGCCCCCCCTGAACACTGCCGCACCGCAATATGTTAATGGCATCGTTTGCAGTTTTCCTTCTAACTATTTTAGGAATCCACAACAGTTCAGTTCATCTTGATGGCGTGACGATGGTCACGATGTTACAATAGCCGCATCATGCGGGCTCACGATGCGAGTTAAACGAAACAACATGCCGCCTGCCGCGTGCCGTCATGCGACCGTGGGCGTGTTCCATAGGCCGTCTGTGAGGTAGTGCAGGTTGTCTACTCCAATCCCCTTGTTCAGCTCCCGCATCTGAAGGGGGGAGGTGGGTGGGCAGGCAAGCACGAAGGTGGGCGGGCAGGCCGGCGGGCAAGGCAGGCGCGCGGCAAGGCAGCGGAGCCGACAAACCGCATGCCGCAGCACACACAGCACACGAGCGGCGATGCCACAGAGAGAGGCATGCGCGCCCCTCAGCCGCTGCTTCCACCACTTCACCATGCCAACTGACCCCCCCGCCAGCGCACCTGCGCCGTGGACATCTTGGTGTATCCTACCGCCATGGCGTGCTCCTTGCCCTCAGCATAGATCGCCACCGCCCGCCCCTCCTCCACCTGCACCAGCGGCAGCAGCGGTGGCAGGGGCAGGGCGCAGGTGTCGCTGTCGTCAGGCAGCCAGGGGATGCGCGAGGGAGGCGGAGGGGCGCCTGGCTGGGGCTGCCAAGGCCCGACGCCGCTGCCGCAGCCGCCGCCGCCGCCTCCGCCATGTGCCCGCCCCAGGCTGGGCGCCATCTGCGGCAGCAGCCTGGCTCGCCTCGTCGTGTATCGTGGCCCCCGGCGAGGTGAGGCCTGGGGCCATGATGTTGGCGCCGCTCAGCACAAACTTGATGGCCCCCAAGTCCGCCCGCAGCTTGGGCATCATGTCGGGGTACTGCAGGGCGGTACGGGAGGTGGTACAGGAGGCGGTACATGAGGCAGTACATTATGTGCTTGTGTGCTTGCATGGTGTTGGGTGGGCGGGTGCGGCGGGGTGTTGAGGCATGGTGGCAGAGCCGGGTGCAGCCCTGCCAGCACCAGCGCAGCGCGGGCAGGCGAGGCAGGCAGACCGGCGGGCTGGCAGGGCGGCAGGTGTGGGCGAACCTGGTGCAGCAGCCGCAGCGTGGGGAACCAGGGCCCGTCCCGCATGCTGAAGAAGAGCGGCGTTTTGTCCAGCACCAGCAGCTGCACATACTCTGGGCTGAAGGGGCAGGCAGGAGGGCGGCAGCCAAGCAGCGCGGCACAGGTTGGGACCGGCAGGGTCCAGCGCCGGCCACCGCTAGCCCAGCTGCAGCAGCCTGCTGCCCCGGCGGGGAGGAAGCCAGAAGGGGTCGCAGCTCCCCACGAACGGCCGCTACAACCACCTGAGGCTGCCGCCGGTTCTGCCAGCCAGCACACTGCAGCGGCGGCTGCTCACAGCTTGATGAGCACGAGGTCCTGCTTCTTGGGCAGAATCACGTCGATCACTCCCGTCTCAGAGAGGTACGGGTAGTCCTCTATTATCCTCCCTGCAGGAGCGGTTGCCGGCGTGGAGTCGCCCTCAGCCTGCCAGGTGGCACTGCCAGCATGGGCTTGGCCCAGGGCTCCCTGCCCCAGAGAGGCAGGCAGGCGGGCGAGTGAGCGGCGGCGGCGCACCTCTGATGGCGCGCTGCGCCGAGGCCTTCAGCTGGCTGTGCCCCGACACCTTATCCTTCCCGAAGGTTTTGAACAGCTGCGAGGTCATCGCCGCTGCGCTGCTGCCGCCAGGCTCCCTGCAGAGAGAGCGCTGGGTGATGGGCGGGAGGGAGGAGCGTGTGGCGGGGCTCGGGGATACCAACAGGGGGAGCAATGCGTGCGAATTGGCATGCGGGGAGGCCTCCTGCGCTCTGTGGGCAACGTTGTCCCGGCAACTGTACTGCACGGCGACCCAGAGGTTGCCGCCGCATCGGATTGCGCGCTTTCACGGGGTCTTCAAGCATCTGGGTTGCTACAGCCACACACAGGAGGCCGCCAGCCCCACATTACCCTGCCCTCTCTCACGGCACGTGCCTCTCTGCCCTAGCTCCAGCCATCGCCCCCTGGTGATATCACCTCGCTGAGCAGCAGACACGGGTTGCCCCAAGGGTCTTGCAGTCTTCGGGTTGGACCGGCGCCGCCTGGCCCGCACGCAGACAGCCGCAGGGCGTGGTTTCCGTGGTGCCTGACGCGGCCGACAGCCGGCGCAGTCACCGCAAGCCTACCAGCGCCCGCCTGGCAGTGAGCGGCGGCCACCGCGGCAGCAAGCCTTCGCCATCTGACCGGCCGCGAGGCGGCCCCCTCTTGCTACCACCAACTTTAGGCCAGCAGCATGCAGCTGAAGCAGATCAGCCGAATACTGGTGCAGTTCAGCCCCTACACGGGGCAGGCGCGGTCGGCGCGGGAGTTCCTTGCCCGCGTGACCAGCCGCCCCGCGCAGTCCACCAACCCGGACTGCGAGGTTCAGGCGCGCGTGAGGTGAGCTCTCCCAGAACCCCTGCTCATCAGCCCAACCACCTCCCCACCCACCTGCCTGCCTTGCTGGCGCTATGGGCCACCGCCTGCCGCCGCTACAGCCCACAGGCAGCTGCGCGGCTGGGGCGTGCCGGGCGTGCCCTGCGCCGGCTGCTGCCGCCGCATGCTCCCGCCCGGGTCTGACCAGCGTGCCGGCTGGCTGGGGTGCTGCAGGGTGAAGGGCGACCCTTTTGTAGAGATTGAGTACGACAACAAGCAGGTGATTGCCTCCATTCCTCATCCCCTGAAACCTCTATATGTAAAGGGCGGGCCACCCCAACCAGCGGCTGCACCCAGCTGCCTCAACTCATGTCCAACGCCGCGCCCTTGCCCTGCTTTCTTCTTTCTCAGGTGACCCGCATCGACACAGCAGACCTCACCATACAGGAGATCCTGCTCCAGGTGCAGAGCCGGGCGGAGGAGATGGACACGATGCAGGTACGGTGCGGTACTGTGCGGTGTGGTGCGGTACATGCAGTGCAGGACATGCAGTGCGGGACATGCAGTACAGCGCTGCACAGGGTGGCGGCGCAGCACAGGGATGGCGGCAGGCCAGGGGCCTCTGGCCGGGCCGCCTGAGCGGCTGGCATGTCTGTCGCTCGCCTCGAGAGCCACCTCCAGAGCCGCCTTGGCCAGCCTGCATGGCTTGTGCTGGCCGCCGGGGCACGCGCTGGCTCACCAGCCCTCCCTGGGCCCTCTCTCTCCTGTCCGCAGAAGCTCAAGGCGGCGGGGCTGGGCAGCCAGCAGTTAGACAGCAGCTGGCACCGGCACTTGGGCAAGGAGACTGCCACCGTAGGGAAGATTGATTTTGTGCCGCGCCAGGCATGAGGCGCCAGCCAGCAGCCATCCGCACAGGCAGGCAGCAGCAGTCGAAGCAGCTCTGCGGCGGCGGCAGCGCAGGCGCCGATGCCTGCATTAGAGGGACTAGAGACTAGTAGACGAGTCGTGGCGGCGCCTGCAGCGCACCGTTCCTCTGCGGCGCCTGCCTTTTAGAAGACCGAGCAAGCCATTTGATTTAGACGAAGTGTTAGTGCCCTCCGGCCAGCAGTGGCTGGCGGTGCCTGGGTGCGCCGCCAGCCTTGGCCTGTAGCGAGTGACACTGTCAGCAGCCAGCACCATAGGCAGGCGGTATCCCGCCTGCCTGTCATATTTCATGCGGCACCTTGAGCAGTACCACATTCATCATTTCTCCGATTCAATAGGTAGCAACGAGTTGCGCTTGTGTAAGTCCGCGCCAAGCACCAGGCAGAGCCACAGGAGGGGCCCTGTCAGTCGATGCCCTGCACAAGCAGCAGCCACAGCCCTGCCGTTCCCTGCCCGCCTGGCTGACGCCGTGGGCTGCTGCTGTTTTGGCGCCCTTTCAGTCCTTTGCATTTGCTGCCTTCTTTATTACATTGGCTGCCTCAGAAGTAGGGCTTGTATTGAGCTTCCAGCTGCACCACCGCCCCAGCGCCGCCCTCCAGCCGCCGCTGCCCCTCCACCCTGCCGCCGCCCACCAGCTGCCGCAGCGGCAGCGACAGGCTGCCGCAGCTGCTGGCGCCGCCCCGCCACCTGTGCACCATCAGCTCAACCCTCACTGCAGGCAAGCAGGCGCAGGCGGGCGGGGCAGTGGGCGCCACTCTGAGCATGCCGTGCAACCCTGCAACAAGTCAAGACCAAAGGTGGTCTATAGACACCATTGATCCAATGACCACATTGATTTGTG